TTAATAAAGGGTGATAATTTTCGTTATTATACATATGCCAGCTGCTCTCTCAGGTTCCTATTCCTAGCCTAGATTTCTTTCTGAAGCTCCAGATATGCATACCAACTGCTACATGACACCTCCACTAGAATGACTTACAATCACTGCATCCCAGGTATCTTACTAAATGACATTACCTGTATGTCATCAGGAGTTGACCTCTCTCTGTCCTCCTTCACCCCTGCTTATGTAATTATTTGCCACATCTTATAATACAATGTCAGATATTATTCTAAGTGCTTTACATACATTAGTTCATTTAACATGAGACATATACACATGTCATGAGAGATATAATTTGTAAATGATTAGTAAGTAATATAGATGAACATTGTTAAGATTGTAAAGGAGGAAGAATGACTATAAACTACAATGGTCACAAAAGGCAAAGTGGAAGTAGACCCGAAAATCTGGTAAATAAAAAAGTAGGAGAAAGCATTTTAAGTGGGGCCTATGAAGTGAAGAAAGACTTTGAGGCAGGAAAAAACAAACATGGTTGTATAAGTAACAGTAAACACAAGTTTGAAAGGAGATGGAACTACAAGGCAGGTGTTCTCAAACATTTTGGACTCATAATCCTTTTGTATTTTTTAAATTACTGAGAACCCAAAGCTTTTGTTCATGTGGATTATATCTGTCAATATTTACTGTATTCAATAATTAAACCTTAAAATTGAGACAAATTTTAAGAATGCAATTTTAAACAACCAAAATAAGCCCATTATATGTTAACATAAATAACATTTCTATGAAAAATAACCATATATTTTAAAAACATTAAAACAGTTGGACTGTTTTACAATATTGCATCTCTCTTTAACATCTGGCTTAATAGAAGAGACCTGAATTCTCATGTGTGCTTCTACATTTACTTCACTGTAATATGTTGTTTGGTTGAAACATAAGAAAATCTGGCCTTACACAATATATAGTTGGAAAAAGGAGTATTTTAATAGACTTTTCAGATAACAGGGTTTTCTTTTTTGACACTATCCCAAAACTTGACAAGTGGTAGTTTCTTAAAGGTTAGTTCAGTGTGGAATTGGAAATATCAATGAACAGAAATAAACATTTCATATTCTGATACCTTAAAATTTGTTGGTTTATCTTGAATTCTGAGTAAACTGCTTACCATACATAGTTTTATAGCATGATGCAATGGTCATTTGGAAATACTGGGTCACTGAATTATGTAAATCTTACAAATGTTGATCAATCTCTTTATGCACTATCAAAAAAATCACATGTATTAATTTCACCACTAATTTCATCAGAAAAGTCTTTGAAGTATTGGGAAGCTGTCATGCTTACAATGGATACACACAACAAAATTCTAATTTTCACTTGAAAACTCAAAATTTATTACTGCAACATTTACTGTCAGTTGTTACCAACAACATGTACTTGAGAATGAAGATTTAATAAAATTAATACTTTTTACTGGTTCATCAATGACATTTGTAAATGAAACTGACATGTTTTGTTTGGGTTTTTTTAACGGAGAGTTTGTGGTGGTGAAGAATACAATGACTATTAGAGCCAGTTGGATGCTAGTGCTTTGATAAATGCAAAGGTGTTAACAGTTTTACATCATTGGTATAAATGCAACAGAGTGAAAAAGATAAGTCACATTTCAATAGTAGTATGAAAATAGTTTTTACCTTGCAGATTCCCTAAAATGGTTTCAGGGACAACCAGGGAATCAAAGACAACACTTTGAAGTGCTAATATAAGAAAAAAAGGAGAACACAAAGCTTTTAAAAGAGGCCTTTGAGGCATCAGAGTTGTCTTAAAGCTCCCATTCATGCACTTGGTTCTTTTAATCCTCTTTGCATGGTGGGTGGATAATTTTAGAATGGTGCCTTGGATATCATAAATGTTAAGTTGTAAAATAAAGTTCTGGATTCTGTTATTTTTCTCCAATAAGCATTGTTGCTCAATTATTTTCACTGAACTTGAACTGTAAACTGTTTATTGGAGAGCAGCTCCTGTCTCAGCAGTTAAGATAATTTGCCTTTCATTAAACTGCTGTGAGTCTATTACACTGCAACAATTTAGGTTCAGTCAGTGATATGGGTAGACATAATCTGGGCACTTCTTTTCTGGCTCTTTCCTTTGCGGGATTCTTCCACCCTCTTCAGTGACCAAAATTTCTCCAATTCAGTTTTCTAGTTTCCCTAATCAGCAAGACTGCAGTTTTCCCAATGGCATCCCCCATATCCTACTATATATATGTCCCACCTACTGCTCTTAGCCCCAGGCTAAAAGCTTCCTCCCCAAGCTCACAGCTCCCTTTCTCTCCCTAATTGTAGTCTCTCCACCATTTCTGTCCAGGTATTTTAGAGAGATGCTTTCTGTATTATATACAGGGTTCTAGTTTTCTTCTTTGAGGGGAGTTACGAATGGTTACGTCCTTCTTTATCATCACCAGATGCACAGGTCCCCCACAAAAGGTTTTTATCTGAGGAATTAGCATGACGACATTTGCAGTATAAAAAGATTTCCCTGCTGTGAGGGAAATAGTCTTAAAATAGCTAGAGATGTGGGGAGATCAGTAAGAGTCCACAACAGCCCAAGATAAAGAGAATAAAGTACTTGGATACCTTTTCTAAAGATTTTATTGAAAAAATCTGAAAATTTTGAATATTCTTAAAGTAAGATGCCTAAATCTCACCTCATCTTATGCCGGCACTAATCAACTGCTTAACAGATTTAAGAAGCCTAAACATCTGGAAATTATTTACTCTAACCCTTAGGTATGGTTCATTGTAAATCACCTCTAATCCTTCAAATCTCCCAAGGACAAGATTTCTCTAGGTTTTTCAATAGGTCTTCTAGAGTTTAGCACTCATATATTGCTTGTTAATCTCTGTGGGATCAAAAGAAACAGAGGTGCATTTAATCCTTCTTAAAGTTATTCTGTTCTTGATTTATTATTTCTCAAGTTGTCAAGAAAAGATGCTGAAGCCTTTCCTCATACAACCATTAAAAATATAATGATGTTCCTTTTTTCATTAAATTACTGGGGGCGGGAGGTGTAAGTAGTATCTCACCTGATGTTTCTCTAAGGTAAAATAACACTGAGTATGTTCTTATCAATCTACATTTTAACAAAGAAGTACTTATTGTGATACAGAATGAAAAGACTATGAAAGTTTGCTCTGATTCTTGACCTGAATGTTAGTAACATGAGTGTGTTCAATTTGTGTAAAGCTCACCAAATTACAACTTGTGATATATACTTTTCTGTATATATGTTATACTTAAATTTAAAAAAATTAAAGTCTGGGTAAGTTCAAATATACCTATGGTATGTCCCTTCTCTAAAATGTCAATTATTCTCACAGGAAAAATTCACAGTATTCTGTTTGTGCGGTATGACTTATCTTCATATTTACTCACTACCACTTGATTTTTTTTATGACTAAAATAGTATGTGCTGATTTAAAATTCGAGCATTAAAAATATGTGACAATAAAAATTGTCTATAATTTCATCCCCTAGAGATACCACAATTGGAATTAAATTCAGAGTCTTATGACTTCTGCATAATTCTATTATAAATAAATTGCACCCTTTTTCAGACTTTGGGAATGTCACTTCTCTCAGAAAATTCTAAAAAATGAAGGAACATTGTTTAGAATCCTAGCAGGCCAATAACTGAAATAAACAGATGTAAGCACAAGCAATTTTTAAATAGTAAATTGCTACTATTTCCTCCACAATTTTCAAAGCCTATGTCTTTTCTGTATCCTCACAATGTCTACCCCAGTGCAAGGCATTTAACAGTTATGTATTGATGGAAATGAGATTAATTCTCTAAAAGAAATGAGAATAGTCACTTTCATATGATACAGTAATGATCAGATCTCAATTTCTAGGAAAGGGTACTTCAGCCTCTGAAAGGTATTCTATACTTATTTTCTTTATCTATTTTTGCTACTTTCATGCCCCCACATTCTGAGAATTTTCTCCTAAACATTCCTTTACTTACCTAAAGTGGAACCCTATAAAATGGAATTACCAAATTAAATTATAGCAATGCAATGTCTTTCCTCTGTCTCAGTTTCTAGCCACTCTGCCTATATAGCAATATAAGAAATATTTTCTCTTAGCCATTAAGTTTTTAAAATGTCAAAAAATTAAAACTAAGGTTACATGTAAAAATTAGGATTCTAATGTAACTAAAGTCTTAATTTTTTTGTTGCCATGTCTATATACTGGTATTAATCAAAAGGTATATGTTTATTTAGCATGCAACACTGTTTCAAAAGAAACCAACTCTATATTAACCTACAAATCTGATGATTTACAAAGTATTACTCAACTATGCAGATTTAAAAAGGATAACATAAAAACTTCAAATATTTTACTATTATTACATAGGAAATGCCACCTTTTTGGAAAAAATATAATCATAAATAGTGTATATGCTATAAACAGAAAATCTAGAGAATATGATTTTTTTTGCTATAATGCTATAAACAATAGTTATAATTCACAATAGTATAGATAGTATAGATTTTTGGACTATCTTTGACAATGGGACAAAAAATTCAACTAAACTGACCTAAAAAACTGTACTTTAAAATCATCTAAATTGCATAATCTCAAAATTTTTCCATTTTGCTGAAATTTATGAATAGACATTAAAATTTTTAAACATGACATCTCTATTTTATATAAATTATCCAAATACTTTAAAGAATTCACTTTTTTAAAATCACCAGGCTTTAAGAAAAGCTATTCCTAAATTAATTACTATATCAGATGGCCTGGGGAACTCAAATAAAAGAAAGTTCCATTCTAATAATTCCACTTGATTCTTGGACTATACACTGAAATCATATTATTCATTAAATTGCGTATTTGCTTGAGGTAAATTTTAACAAATACCTCTCACTAATGGATAATTGTTAGCCATATGGATATGAATATTTTTATTTTCGCTAGTTACTTACTGAGAGCCATGCAAGGGATTCCATGATTCGATGTTCACATCGTTCTAAATGTTTTATCATTTCTCTGGTCAAGTTGGCTTCTGCTTTGATAAAACTTTCAATCACTTTGTAAAAATCAAAGGCTTTTAAGTTAAGTACATTCAGAATCCATGGGAAGGACAAATCTGTTCCAGTATCAAGATTCTGAGATGTACTTCCTAAAAATGAAAGAAAAAATGTAACTCAGGTATGAAATGTTATGCCTTGAACTATGTATTTTTAGGTTGGAAGGTTTTATCAAACAAAAAATTAAAACACAGTAGAGGACCTAACCAAAACTTTTTATTTAGAGCAGAATTTTCTGTTCTGGAGTCTACAGACTCCTAGGAAATAAGGTTCCAAATTTTGAGTATATGTGCACATATGGTTTTTCCTAGATAAAGGGCTCACAGCTTATGTCAAATTTTCAAAGTTTTAAGTGCCCTAAACTTGTATCAGTAACAGGTTTAATATCTAACCAGCATGGAACTAGCATATCAATTTTAACTGTCTCATTAATCCTTGGTGGGGGTGAGGGAGAATTCTTTAGAATTTTGTTAATTTGATTGATTAGAAATTGGTATTTCTTTTAAACATGCATTTCTTGGTTACTAAGGAGGATTCAGTGTCCTATCTATACTAGTTTAAGTTTCTCTTTTATTGTATATTTGTACCCTTAGATAAATTTTCTTCTTTGTTTTTACAAACAAAATTTCTTTGTAACATTTGCAACATTATTTGCAAGTTAATACATGTTTAAAATTACATTTAAAAAACACTCTCAGTGGCCTCTGTTCTATTTATCTGGTGGATTCTAACTCCAGCCTTTGGTTTCTTGATCATAGAGTCTTACAGCAGTGCTTCCATATCACTTTATGCTGCTTGTTAGTAATGCTTTGGCACTTTACAATCTCATTAAGTCTTTGAAGGGATTTCAATAGGCACATTTCCTGGATTCGGTAAAGCCCAGAATAAGAGCCTAGTGAAATATTATTTCCAAGGTGACCTGAAATACTGCTTGTTAGTAATGCTTTGGCACTTTACAATCTCATTAAGTCTTTGAAGGGATTTCAATAGGCACATTTCCTGGATTCGGTAAAGCCCAGAATAAGAGCCTAGTGAAATATTATTTCCAAGGTGACCTGAAATAATTCAGATAATAAGCCATTTTAATGACCAATTACATTCTTCAATATATACTGTTTTAAAATATACATACTTGTCCTTAACTCTGCCCTCCCACCAAAAAAAAAAAAAACCCATTAACTTAGATAAGTTTTTAACTTTAAATTGAACTAAAATGTTTATTTACTAAAATTTAACTTACTGCTATATGTAGCCATTACAACCTCAAGAGCGCATCCCAGCAAAGACATATGAAAGATGTTGTCATTCAGGAGTTTGCTAAAGGGAAAAGAAAAATTATTTTGAAACACCTACATTTATAAATACAAATTTTTTTACCGCAACTAAAAAATTTACCTAAAATTTTGAATGGATAATCGTTCTTCTTCCTAAAACAGATTAAAAAAAATGCATAACTGAAACTTTTTTGTGTCAACACTGAAATTTTTTCTATCATGTTCTTTATAACTTACTGATTTAAGCATGGATTCCATTACTCGATAATATAATCGGACTCCAAGTTTGTATCGCTGCAAAGAAAAAAAATTAGAACCCATTATATTAGAAAATTAAAACAATTAATTTCTAAGAAGTTTTCTCTTGAAACACATTTCTGATTTTTAGGAATATGACTACCAAGAAGTGACAAAAGCTTGTTTATCTAAAACTCAAGACTTAACTGTAAAATGATGGTTAACATTCCCAACATATTATCAAAAGGGAATCTAATACTTGGTCCAATACTTGGTTTTCTTTCATTCCACTGCAGTCTACATTGTACATATATATATATATCTACATTGTACATATATATATATTCTTAATATAGCATATATTATGTACCATGAACTATTTTAACCATTTTACATACTAACATAATACCTTCTGGTGACCTAGGACATGCATTTTCAAGATAGCTCTCCAAAATTAAAAGAATAGTTTCTGTCCATAAAACTGGCAAAGGCAAAAATGAGGCTAAAGTGACCTTATCAACAAAACGTTTTAATCAAATAAATAGTTCCCATTAGTTCAGAGAATTTTAGATACACACATACACACATTTACACTCTCACATAAACCATATTCCTTCATTATAGATTATGAGCACAAATTTTATATACAATCAAAAGGAATTTTTTTGACATCAAAGTACATCCTCACTACACTGAAATAACTGTGTATAGTAGATTATAATTTTCAAACATATTTTTATATATTATCTCATTAATTCCACACAACAAAAAAAAGCAAATATAGAAACCTGAATTTTAGAGAAGTTAAACAACAGCTCATAAATGTAGAACAATATATAAACTCAGGGCTCTTGAGACAGAGCCCATATCCTTACTCAATATATTGGTTTTAGACTTTTGGAAATGACAGAAATAATATCACTCAATAATGTCACTGATAAATGGCATATGTAATATGAAACCATTCATGTAAGTATATATATATATATATATACATGATTATTCATATATGCAGAAGTCAAAGCATATAAACAAAAAAGGAATAGTATTAAAGATTTTTTTTTTACTTGTATCTTAAACTTCTGTAATTTTTCTCAAATTTTCTAACTGTTTACTTTTGGCTTTTGTAACAGGCAGGGGCATCTTCTCATAAAGTTTTCCATACATAGCAGCATGCAAAGGCAGCCAGGATACAGCATCTGCTGGTATTTTACACTGGAGACAAATACTATTATTTTATATAATTGGATAGACATAACATTTGAAATTATTTAGTATATAGCAGTACTAGTTAAAATGAACTCAAGTTACCTGTGATCCAATTTCCATACATCCCTGTCCCACAGCTTTAGCAAATTTCTCTTTAAAGATATACCCAATATCCTTCACTCTTTTCAAGATACTTTCCTTTGGATTCACTGTGCAGTTCTTTAAGAAGGAAAAACAAATCAACGTTGAGGATACTGTAAACAGAATTAACATTTTCTGCCCCATATGATTTTTTACTTTCAGTTATTTATACTGTGGAAATATGTCCACAATAACTAGGTAAGCACAACTACTAAAACTAGAAGGAACATAACAAATTGTATTTTGGGACATCAAAAACCAAAAAGTACTAGAATACAATTTAAACACCCTAAAACCAAGTTCTCTGCTGCTAGGTTATGGAAGAACAGATTTGTTAGTCCTTCTATCCATCAAACAGTGGCATAGACATTATACTTCATACCACAGAAATACAAAGGATCATAAGAGATTACTAGGAAAAATTATACACAAACAAACTGGACAACCTAGAAGAAATGGATAAATTCATAGAAACATACAACCTCATAAAACTGAATCACAAAGAAATAGAAATCTCAACAGACCAATTACCAGTAAGGAGACTCAATCAGTAATCAAAACCTCCCCCCAAAAAAAGTACAGTACCTGACAGCTTTCCTGGTAAATTCTACCCAATATTCAAAGAAGAATTAATACCAATTGTTCTCAAACTCTTCCAAAAAACAGAAGAAGAAGAAACACTTTCCAACTCATTTTATACCAGCATTACCCTGATACCAAAATCAGTCAAGGACACAACAAGAAAAGAAAATTATAGGCCAATATCCCTAGAACATAGGTGCAAAAAATATCAACAAAATATTAGCAAACTAAATTCAACAATACATGAAAAGGATTATACACCATGATCAAGTAGGATTTATTCCAGGGAGCAAGAATGGTTCAACATCCACAAATCAATCAATGTGATACACCATGTTAACAAAATGAATAAAAGTCATATGATCATATCAACAAATGCATAAAACATTTGAAAAAATTTAACATCCATTTAGAATAAAAATTCTAAACAAAGCCAGTATGAGGGAACATATGTCAATATGATCAAGGCTATAAATGACAAATCTACAATTAACATTGTATTCAATGTTGAAAAGCTAAAAGCTTTTCCTCTAAGATCAGGAATAAGACAAGGATGCCCACTCTTACAACTTTATTCAACACAGTACTGCAAGTCCTAGCCACAGCAATTAGGCAAGAAGAAATAAAAGGCATCCAAATTGCAAAGGAAGAAGTAAAACTGTCACTATTTGCAGATGATGTGATACGATGTATAGAAAACCATAAAAATTCTATCAAAAACTGTTAGAACTAATAAACTAGTATAATGTCAGGGAAAAAAATCAATATACAGAAATGAATTGCATTTCTATACACTCATAATGAACTATCAGAAAGAGAAATTAAGAAACCAATCTCATTTACAATTGCATCAAAAAGAATAAAATACCTAGGAATAATCTTAACCAAAGAGGTGAAAGACCTATAAAAACTCTAAGATACTGATGATAGAAGTTGAAGAAGACACAAATGGAAAGATATTCCATGCCCATGGATTAAAAGAATTAATATAAATGTCTATATTACTCAAAACAATCTATAGATTCAATGCATTCTGTATCAAAACATCAACACATTTTCACAGAGCTAGAGCAAATAACCCTAAAATTTGTATGGAACCACAAAAGGCCCTGAATAGCCAAAGCAAGAAATAATAGAGAACTACATGTTGGCTAGGATAAGGGTATTCAAAAAATACTCGGTATTTTAACTTCTAATTTCAAATTTTTTTTGCCAATACATCATAATAAGTAATATTTCATATATGGCTTACATTAAAATAAGAAATCAGATTTTCTGATGGTTGATCACTTGCTGAATTTAAGATCATCATTAATTGTTGGATAGTATTCATAACAGTCCTAGAGAAAAACAATAGGAAGTGTTGAATAATGAAAAAAATGAAACATATTTATTTCTCAAGTTACATGTTATCTTCTCAAGTTACATGTGTTTATCTTTTAGAGTTCTTTGAAATAAGACCTTACAAAATTCCTAATGTACTGTTTTTGACAAGGAATTACATTTTGCTTAAATCTTTAAGAAATATTCTAAGTTCATAATCAGTAAGTCTATAATTGAAGAACTGATATGCTTATTTACTAATATAAATTCATTATCTAGTATGACCTTCCTATCCTGCCATTTCATCTTTCCATTTAGTCAGTTGTACAGAGCTTCTAACAGTTCCCCAGACACATCATATTATTTCATACTTTCATGCCTTTGGGCATGCTGTTTCTATTCTAAAACATCAGTTTCCTGTGACACAGACTTAATAATGTTTCAAAATTCAGTTCAATCATCACTTCATAAAGTCCCTTCTTTACCATCTAATTAACCTGTCATAAGGCTATTACTATAATTATATGAAATGCATTTTTGTGTCTACATAGTCATTGAAAAACATTACTGATTGATTATTGTGCACCAACAACTATCATCCTACATCCTAATTATTAAGTGGTGAACAAAAAGTTCATGGTCCTTGTGGTATGGAACTTGAAGGTTATTTTGGGTATTGGCTAAAACAAGTAAACACACAAATGAATTTATAATTACAAATTGTGATACACACTATGAAGGAACAGAACAGGATGCTATGAGAAATAAAGGAATAAATTTTAGAGAGAAATAAATCTTTAAAAAAGTGATATCGGTGTTGAAACTAAAGGAGTAGCCATTGAGAATTCATGGAAAGAAAATGAGTTTTAAGAAGAGGGAAAAGCAAGTATGAAGGGCCTCATGTACAAAAGAATAGGTTGGAGAGTTCAGGAAACTGGTTAGTACATAAGAAGCAGGAAAACAAGATGAGGTTGGGGAGGCAAGAGAAGCTGGATCATGTAAGGTTTTGTAGGCACTGTTAAGGATTTGCATTGCATTTCAATTGCAAAAGGAAGTACTCAGAAGGTTTAACAGCAGGGTGAACATGATCTGATTTATACTTCTAGAATATTACTCTGGGGACTTTCTGGAGAATATATCTGGTTATGGGGAGATAGGAACAGTAATAAGAAAAGAAACAGCAAGATTGCTTAGTAGACTACTGCAAAAAATCCAAGAGAAAGAGAAAGATACTCTGGACAAAGTTAGAATAGAAACGGAGAAGAGTGGATGACTCAAGAAATATATTGGAGGTAGATTCAACAATACTTGAGAAAGATTCGATGTGGGAAGTAAGTGAGGAAAAGCATATAAAAAAATGATTCTAATCCTAGGTTGTATGCAAAGCAAAAGGTGATTGTTTTCTTTTTTCCTTTTTCTTTACTGAGACAGAACACATTCCTATTCTAGATTATATTCCTGAAAGATAAAGAGTACAAGGTCTAATAATCATATCCTCAGCAACTAGTAAACTACCTGGCACACAAAGAACACACATGTATGTCTGTTGCATGTATATACAAATATAGAATGAAACAAATGAATGAACCTGAAGCACTATAAAGTAGTGAATAAACAATTACAGTGAAAATAAGACAATTCATACCTAACTGGAGTGTGTGGAAGAATCATATTCACCTCTTCATCAGGGTTACTTTTTCGTGGTGTTCTCTGCATTTCAAAACTAAATAGTGATAAGCAAAGTCATTCAGACTGAAAATTTACAATCTGTGCTTCATGAATCAAAAAAGCAATATAATACCTTCTGTTGCCTCATAATATCATAAATGGTAAGTCAATAATAGAAGTGATAGGAAATAGCTGATCTAAGAGCTGCTTAGAAACAGTAGCGGAAAAAATAAAATTTTATATAAGTTGGGTTTCTTCCCACTAGGTTTATAACAAACAGGTGCACCAATCATTTAGAATATTTTTTGGAAGTACAAGTTAGATGTTTTCTATAAAATGTTAGATGTTGGGTGGTATTATTAACCAAGTAGTTCAGAATTAAAAAATATCAAAGCTCAAGTTTTTCAATCATTATGCCTTATAAAATCTTTATCTTAAAATTAGAAACATTTTACTTGCATTTAACTTCTAAATTATATATATTTCCAGTTACATATTAAAAGATTTTTATGCTAAAGACCATACTTGTGACCACTCAAAAATTTTTACAATTACTTTTAACCATTCCTACTTTAGGATTCTACATGACAATTCAAGAGAATATACTGCTGTATTAACTTAAAAAAAAAAAACGAGCCAAGCAAATAATACCAAATGAAAGAGTGGAAAAAAGACAGCAACCCTTACTTGAGTAAACTAATAACTTCAACAATTTTCTTTTCATGTACACTTAAAAAATTACATTCACCAAAATGAGAAAAAATTAGTTGCTACAGAGAAGAATTCACATTAAATCTCTATGTGTAACAAGTTATATGCTTAGGGTATTGTTTTTATTAGCTTTATATAAAGGCATTTGAAGTAATTTATTATAAATGTAAAGGTTATGAAGTTAAAAACCCATTTAACCTATATATATCAAAACTGACCTATAGCAAAGCATATCAACAAATACAAATACACTATGTACAATACCTGTCTGTAGGATCAGTCTGAAGAGTTTTATCATGATCCAGAAATAACCTTGCATCTAGATCTTTGTTTTTAAGGTATATCTCTTCATATTGTTTAGAGAGAATTTCCACCTCAAAATAAAAAAAATACCAATAATTATTCTGTCGTTACATCTCTCAGTACACAGAAGTCCAGATTTAAATAGCTTTTTTTTACAATATATACTGAGTTCACATGTAACATAAATAAGGTATGTCTAAAAGTTAAGTAAAGAATTTTGCTACTTTTCACTCTATTTTTAAACCTGTTTTATGCATGTACCCCATTCATTAAAATTTTATGAAGGCAATGTTCACTAATGCCACAAAACTGTAAGAACTGAAATGAAACTATAAGATAAAAAGAGTTATTATTGTAACTACTCTATTTCCAAGGTTCTCCAAGCATCCCATAAATTTCTCACTTTTAATCTACTACCCTTATTAATATAGAATAAAGTATTTTACAAACATTGTAACAAATCCTCTCCCTATCTTTTCTAATTCCTTTGGTTCACTCCAACTCCCTTAGTTACGTACGTATCCTGGGCAAGAGTGTTAGATCAATTAATTAGCCCAATTAACACATTTGCATAATTTATATCCCAATCTTTTGTTACTGCTGGAATCTGAAGTTCTTTTATCAGTCCTGTTTCATAATTTTCTAATAATCTAAAAACCAATGAGCAATAGACAATATTTGGCACGCTTTTTCTGCTGTGACTTTGTTTCCAACCTGAGAGAAATAAAACTGCATTCTAAAAGGAGTAGTAACGAAAAATCCAGCTAAATGTAAATTTTGTCTGTGTAAGTTTTTCCTGGCAGAACAGTCATGTTTGCTTAAGTTTAATTACTGTTCCTGCCCTATCTTAGTGAGCCACTAATTATCAATCATTTATTGAATTGTAGCTATTAGAGTTATATGCAAAATACAGGGGAAAATGTAAAGTTTACCTTCAGATTTCTATTAAAACATAAATCCTTTCTAAGGGAAGAAAAACTATGAGTGTCCAAGATTCTTTAAAGGTGTACACAGCATATTTTTTGGTACATAAGCTGGTAACAAGACTCAATAATACAACAACATTTGGCCTCTTTTCTTGCCTCTCTAGTACCATATCTTACCAGCCAGTCTTCTGCTCTATATCCCAATCTTAATGAATTAGCTGGCGTTCATTAAACAGACCATACTATCGCATATCACTGTTCCTTTGAATCTCCAACCCTGGAAATGTCATTTCTTATAAAGCTTACTCAGCTCAGAAATCACATCACCTCCAAATTATTTTCCACAAAACCTATCTTCTTCACTTTGGATTGGGTGGTCCTCCTTTGAGATACCACAACACCTTGTAGGTACTTCTATCAGACTCTTGTAGACTTCTCTAATGTTCTATTTCTTTGTTTCTCCCACTAGCACCTCAGTGACAGTGACTCAGTTAAATCTCTGTATTGACGATACCTAGCACAATGCCTAATACATATTAAGCACTCAATAAATGATGAATTAATAAGTTAATTAATTCAAGGACTAGCTACCAAATCAAGTTACAGAATCAGCAGTCTAGCTATCTAATGTCATGTCTTTCGGTATTGGTGACTAATACTAGGTGCTTCTAAAACACTACTTTATCACTGAGTACTTGTTTTTCATCATTTATTTAAGCATCTTTTTCTTCACATATTTCACCTTACCACATAAATTTCTCAGTTGTTCTGTTCTCATTAATAGTATGACATTTGAGACAAAACATGAAAACAGAGGGATGGCACACACTAAAACATTTCTGCAATATAATCAGCAATTTCAACTGAATTAATTTTCAATTAAGTAGTTTTAAAAATACTTAAAAGAGATGTTCCACAATACAATAATGCCAATAATATTGATGGCATTAATCATGGAGTCTGTTTAAGGATGCATAGCAAAGCAAATTGGAATCAAATTTGTACATTTGTTATATTTAAATACTTAATGGCATTTAGAAATTCAAAAGCCTATTTTCTTTTTTTGAAAAATTTCAGCACTAATCAATTTCTAGTACAAATTACAAAATGCTACTTATTTATTCATTTGAGCATATATTCAATTTTTTTTTATTATATAAAGTTGGTTCATCAAAATTCTACTTTGGTTCCTTTCTTTGGGCAAAAAAATATTTCATATAAAATGATCTTAAGAAATTCAGACAACTATTCCTTCCCCTAAAAGTCCCAAAACACAATTAGCTCTTCATTAAGTTTTCTTTCAGATTACCTCTGGAAGTCCATTAGAAGTTACAATTCCAAGAGAATTCATAAAAGGTATAAAATTTTTGAAATAAACATTTTTCACCTGAAAAAGATAAAGTCACAACATAGCTATTAAAATTTTTAAGAAAGACTTGATCTCAGTCACTATTAACTCTAGAAAGTGTTAATTGACATCAACCTAGTATGATACATATTTATAATTAATTCAATTATTTACTTTTTAATTTATGTCAGGCAAATTTCAGGTCCTAAAATGGAGGTACAGAGGGGCATTGTTAACGAAATAGGATTTGTAAGAAGAAAACCCATTGAAACCAACTTTAACGTTCCACATTTAACAAATGATGAAAAGATGGGAGGCTCAGAAAATTAAACAACCTAACCAAAGTTACATTCTAGGAAGTGTCATAGACAGAATTAAAACCCAATCTGCCTACCATCAAAGATGAGACTCTTTTCGGTTCTCTACATGGCCTCTTAATTACTCCCTACAGCATATTTTTGGGCCACTTCACACATGTCATCTCATATTTTGCTTAAAGAATATTTATTTTAATTATTTTAGCATAAATTTAGGAAAATACTTTCATAAGACAGTAACTTCATACACAAAAATAATACCCAGTAATTCAATTCAAAACCAAATGAAAATATTTTGTGGAATTATGCAGTTTCATGAAAAAGAACCCTACATTTAACACAGATATAAAAACCATACTCAGAGAACCTGGAGTTATACTCCTGGCTATTCTACACTTGCAGTGTGTTAAAGAATTTTAAACAACTTATTTTTCTTCATTTAACTTCCCTTTCCAACTTTGGAGTATACATTTACTAAAGCAGAAATAGTTAAGTATCAGTTCCTGTCTTCTCCTTCACAAATATGTTATAAGAAATTAAGCTTTAGTAATACCCATTAGTTTTGTTTTCTAATTAACTGCCACTTAATTAAAACACATAAAATGAGTAGTTCTAGTTCACCAATCAGTATGACTAACCACTAATTATATAACTATAAAGGCAACTAGCCAAGTTATACACCATAAATGCTGTACCACCAATGCTTTTAATCACTTATACTTTAAAAATCATTACTATAAAGACTCTTAATTATAAAAAAGAGTTATTTAAAATGAAAAGTAAAAAAAAAAAAAAAAAGGATTTATTCCTGATTTTAAAATGAAATTTTACAAGTAGTTCTGAAATCCAGAGTTACCAACCAGGAATTAGAAAACTGCATTTATTCGTATTCATTACCTTGAGCAACAAAGTGACAGACTGGAATAAGAAAATATATTTCAACTACATTTGTCAGCTTAGTAGCAAAGATAATTTGTAATCCTAGAAAGTAAAAAGTCTATATATATGTGTAAAAAAAGGTGTTGATGCATCTATAGCTTTGTGTCTATATCTATAGGGTATCTGAAATTAACAAAAGCCACAGTGCTAAACCCAGATATTTTAATAAATCATTCCAATACTATACTTCTTAAACTAGATTTTGAGATCATACCCCATTCCTTCCCAGAGTTGACAGAGAATTTCAAAAATGCAACATTTCATACAGCTATGTGGTGGCAGTGAATTGTGGACAATATAACAAACTATGAGAGAAAGCAGTGAAAGGAGCACCGGTGGTAGATGTTCCAAAGTCCAGAATCTGTTAAGAATTAGGTATCAGTCTCTAAAGCTTGTTTACTCATTATTAAAAGGAGACTGAGTAAATTATTTGTAAGATTCCTTCCAATTTCAACATTCCAGATTATATGAACAAGATAAGCAATTCCTGGGTATTCATGAATATTACCTACCAACCATTAACATCTGGTGTACGAAAGAGAGTAATTATAGAAGGCTGAACAGAAATTTGATGTTGGTTAGGGCATTTTAAAACATGAGGGTATCAGTAACCACAGAGGAATCAAAGAACAAATACATTTGAAAACTTCTACCTTAATGATAGACATTTCAGTGATCCCAGAGTGAGGGAGCTATTCTTTTTAAAGTCAAAATAGCTGAATATGAAAATTTAATATTTTCTAAATATTTTACTACTGCAAAAAAATAGGTACTACTTGCAAAAAGCAAGCTCATTATGAAAAAATTATAAACTATTAGCAAGAACTTACATCTAAATCTACTTTAACTATAAGAAATCATGAAGTTAAATTACCTCATCTATATTACACTCATGTTCTTTACAGAGAACTTCAATAATTCTTGTATCATTTTCTAGTTGTTTTGCTATCCGTGCACTCCTGTTCTGACCTCGCCTTGGTGTTCGAGGTGACCCATTAATAGGTATTACAGCTGTTTCTGTAAAAATGGTAAATTAGATAAGAACAATTGCACATTCCACTGTATAAAATAAAGAAGTAATCTAATGATACCTCAGAAGATCAGAAAATAATCTTGGTAACATTCTGCTACTTTTATTAGTCTTCATTAAAAGGCTATCAGTTCCATCTATTTATTGAATATCTGTTATAAGTTATGTACTGATATTCATTTTTGCCATCCTTATTCTCTATAGCCCCCAACTAACTGAAAAAGAAACTAAAATACTTAAGGCCCTAAAGATAAATAAGAAGGCGGCACGGGAAAGAACCAATTTATAAACTAATTCTAAGTGTATCCTACTGAGTCTATGAGGGGAAAAGAATGTTTTCTTAGAGTCTTAAAAATAATAAGCAAGTATTTATAGATTCAATTTCTAGATGTAGTATAAAAATAAACTTCAAAAGTTTTAGCAAATACCATAGTAAATTATAACACTCTTAAAAAATAAGGATATAAATATTATAATATGATAATGGTGATTTTTAAAAATATATTATTTTGAGCATTCCCAATTCAAACTGAACATGGTTTCAGCTATTGAAAATATTGCAGATGACCAAGTATAAAAAGTATTAACTGTCTCTACACCCAACCAAAAATTCACAAAAAATTCAAAGAGGAACATGCTAAATTATATCACAAGATGGAATCAGTAAAAATTAAACCATGGGAAACTCAACAGGACAAACTGATTTTTTAATAAATTGCAATAAAGATAAAAGGAGGAGGAATTTTTTTAAGTGTTAAAAGCTTATCAACAAGTAACAAAGATCTTACTTCAATTCTGATTTAGTCAACCTGTAAAAAAATTTTTAAATTACTTTTACAAGACAATGAAAATATGAACACTTACTGCAGATTTGGTGGTATTAAGGAATCACTATTAATTGATTTTCCAGTGTGATAATGGTACTATCATTATACTTTTTAAAAAGAGTTTATCACTTAGAAATACATACTAAAATTTATAAGAACGAAAAGGTATGCAAAGATGTGCTTCAAAATAATATAGCTGGTGGAATTGGGCAGTAATGGGGCTACAGGTTGACCAAAAGTTGTATGTTGATGGTAGGTGAGAGTACAGAGGCTTATTATACTACTGTCTACTTTTGTAGTCACTTGAAATTCTCCATAATAAAAATATGATTAAATGTTTACTATACTCAGTCTATTCAAAACCTCACCCTGGTTTCTCAATAACACAGCACTTAGTCAATTAAAATGTATATGTGAATTATCCAAAAGAGTAAAGCCTGTCAACCTAAAGTAACATCCTATGTCACCTTATTAAAGTTATAACATTGAAAAAAAGTGAGGACAAAAATCTTTAAAAGGAAATTTTTAAAGAGTCAGAAATTTTTAAAATATTATTTCTATTTTGTTCCACCTCTGTTTTGCATTTGCTTTCTGCTAAATGACCTGCCTGTTAAACCATGTTCAATACATTTTCAACATTCTTCTCCAGTCTATTTTTCTATAAAGTAACTGTTTCACAAAGATTAATTAGGCTTCAGCTTTTCAGCCATTTCAGCAACACTTTGAGACTTCCATGTTTTGATCTGTTCTCTATTATTTTAATATTATTAATGCTTTCATCATTTTGGGAGCAGTCAGTTCAGCCTTAGTTTACATTTTCTGTAGAATTAAGCGATTTTGAATTCCTACTCTTGATGCTAACTAAGGAAGCACTTCCATTCTAAGAGGAATATATTCACCTTTGCTTAATGCTATCAAATTATTTTCATTTATATACACTTCCCATCTCATTACCCACTGTAGATGAATTACAGTTCATATGCAAAAAAAAAAATTAGTCACATAATCATCGTAGCACCCTATAATAAAAATTTCATTAATCTGTTCCAGTAGAATAAGCCACTCTTTCCCATTCAGTCTCATTCATATCTGTGCCTTACCTCTTGATCTTCTCTTTACAGGGAATGCCCTCCCTCTGCCTCCCATAACACTCTAATCCTATCTATTCTTCAACACTCAATTCAAATGCTACCTGTTTATATGATCTTTGGTCTTCCCCAGCAGGGAAAACTTTTTGCTTCCTGAGCTCCCACAGTATTTGCTGTCTTTTGGCCCAGACCACTTTCTACAATATACTCTAACTACTTGCTTACTTGTCTTATCTCTCCTATATCTTCTACTACTTGAGAGCAGAGTTCATGTCTGATTTATTGTTTATCATTCCCTCAGCTCTAGGACAAAGTTTTGGACTAGTAGACAACTAGACCAACTATAAAAAATTGTTCAATGAACAACTGTTGAATGATGAAGGAGGAGGAGCATAAGTTATTATTATTACTATTTTTTATCAAAGTATTGTTGATATACAATCTTATGTTGACTTTAAATATATAATATAGTGCTCCAACAGTTACCCATATTCTTAAATCCTCACCCCATCTGATGCAGTCACTATCTACCAACATAGTAAGATATTACAGAATCATTAACTGTATTCTCTGTGCCTTACTACCATCCCCGTGACCAATTTATATTGTGACTGCAAATTATTGGAGGGGCATAAATTATTTAAAAATACTTACTATATGGTTCTTTGAGCAAAGAAGGTGGTGAGAGTTTTATAAAATAGTCAAGGACACACAGCATTAACTGAAATGAGATCACCAGATCATCTTCCATTTGTAATATTTCTCCTGAAAATAAAAAAGTAAAGTTAGAGATTGAGATCTTTAAGTCAGGGAGAATTATGAGTATGGGCATACCCATATACTCATTTATTCAACAATCACTAGAGACATGTTAAATTTTTTTTCTTTTTTTGGCAAAAGCTCAGTCAGATTTGAAATATATAAAAATACATAGTCATGAAAATGAAATATAACTCTATTATGGGAATTTTACATATAGGTATTATTATAATTCAGTAAGTATATATAAATTTTTTTTCCCTTTTTTAAACTTACTTTGTCTTACTTCAAACTATAGAATTTATTATTTCTGAAAATAGTTTTAAGTATGATACATGCTAATATTTTAATTGTTTATTTATAAAACCTCATATTTTTCAAACTTAACTGCCCTCCAAAATATTACAATTACCAAAGCCATTAAGAAATAGCAAAATTAGCACATAATTGTAAAATCATCTATACAGTAATTATTTAGTACACAAAATATACAAGTTATGATCAAATATAGCTATGATATATTTGCTTATGGTTCTTCATTGTGCATTATTTTTAGAAGAAAAGTTTAATGTGACTCACTTCCTATCTTCTTGGTATCTGACTGCTAAACTACTAATAATCCCGACAAATATTGAAGGTATAGAAACTATGTGAGAAAATAGGTAATCCTGCATCAGGTAGGTTTTCTGGATCCATAGGTATGGTGAAAAAATGTTTGTAATATATTTAGAAGTTATTAAAAAATATCACAGAGATAAAGACTAATATCAAAGACTTCTGGTTAAAAATAATAGAGTGAAGTCAGATCAAAGAATCTCCTTCAATACCTAAAAAAATAAAAGGAAAAAAATGCACTGGTTAAGTGTGAGTACCATATTAAATTTGAGAAATACTGACTCAGAGACTATCCTCATCTTTTTCTTCTTACTTGCAGGGAGTAGAAATTGCTGATGAGAGGAGAGTAAAATGGAGAAAGTAAACAACTATAAATTAACTTTCTGATAAACATACAGACTACAGTATACTGTGCTGAATTAGGAACAACCTGAATCTCAACACAATTCTGTTGTGGAAACTGGAACTACCATAATAAGCATTCCGTTTTAGAGTTCATTCTAACCAAGAACTCGGAACAAAGACTTGTACCATTCCATATGAACTCTCCACTTTCTCCCTTACCCTCTGACTAAAAGTAAACATAATATAAAAACTGCTTTTATCTTACAGCTTTCTGGGGAACACAACAAATCACAGATAAAGTACAAAGTTAATGAAGGGAGATTTATTAACACTACATCAGAAAAAAGAGAACAAAAGGTCAGGGATACATACATAAAGTTCTAGCAACATGGAGAGAAAAGTACAGGGGCTATGCAAACATATTATAGTAAAGAAAAAGGAAAAAAATAGAACCACAACATAAAAAAGGGAAACAATCTGGTAGAGAACCCAATTTAGGAGATAATTTGTCAGAAGAAAATGCCCTATGAGTCTTTGCATTAAGAACTTAAAAAAAACACAACTTATATAAGAACAAGAAGCTAGACAAGTTAAGAATAAACTTAGGACCAAACTAATGACTTGTTTAGTTTCACTTCTGTATTTAAATGGACTCTAAGCTAAGCTTATCATCACTTCTATATCACAGCTTTGCCATTTCTGAGTTCTTTATTTTGATTATTCTGAGCTGGCTGTATTTTACCATGAAGAAGTTTTTCCTTCATTATATTCAATACCATTATATACATAATTTAGCTCAAAATAGAAGAAAGGCTTGAGATAAAATAGTCAATACATAAGAAAAAGACCAAAGATTAGAATAATATGAGAGAAGAATAAATATGGAGGACAAAAAGAATCCAGCATAAGATGTTCCTGAAACATAACAAAATAGTACCTAATTAGAGTAATATCAAAACATGTAGTATGTTAAGATTTCCCTGAAATTAGAAGCTTCAGTTTAAAAAGGGATGCAGAATTACAGCAAAACTAAGACAAAACAGTAAAAATTAAGAGATATCCTGGTAATGGCACTGAAACTCAAATTTTAAAAAAAGAACTCAAGTATTCAGGACATCAGTGAGAGGGGGAAATTAAACCAGCCTCAGATTTCTGAACAGCAATGTTCAATACCAGAAAACAATGGCCTGAGGAAAACAAACATGACATGAGAATATGATACAGAACCAAACTACGGACTCATAAACGTGCCAAACATAAGGAGTGTGTTGCCAAAAAACCTCTTTGGAAAAACTTCTTAATGGCAAAATACAGCCAGCTAAGAATGATCAAAATGAAGAACTCAGAAATGGCAAAGCTATTGATATAGAAGTGATGATAAGCTTAGCTTAGAGTCCATTTAAATACAGAAGTGAAACTAAATAAGTCATCACAATTGCAGAGCAGACTGTAAATGTTATAATCTTTGATAACATAATGATAACAACAAATTAGTAAATCTGAAAGTGGAGAATGGGGAGGTGATAGGAAGAATGAGAATAGAGGTATACGTCAGGGATATTGCAGGTTCAGTTCCACCCACCTTGATAAAGTAAATATGGCAATAACAGGAGACAAATAAATTTTTTGTTTCCCAGTACATATAAACATTATGTTTACCCTATTCTTTAGTCAATTAAGTTTGCAACAGCATTGTCTTAAAAAAAATGTACATACCTTAAAAAAAAATTTATCACTAAAAAATGCTAGCTATCATCTGTGCTTTCAATAAGATGTAATCACCAGAAAAAAATATAGGCAAAAATCTCTTGGACATAAACATGAGCAACTTCTTCATGAACATATCTCCCTGGGCAAGAGAAACAAAAGCAAAAATGAACAAGTGGGACTATATCAAACTAAAAAAACTTCTGTACAGCAAAGACACCATCAGTAAAACAAAAAGACATCCTACAGTATGGGAGAATATATTCATAAATGACATATCCAATAAGGGGTTGACATCCAAATTATATAAAGAGCTCACACACCTCAACAAACAAAAGGCAAATAAGCCAATTAAAAAATGGGCAGAGGTTCTGAACAGACACTTTTCCAAAGAAGAAATTCAGATGGCCAATAGGCACATGAAAAGATGCTCCACATCACTAATCATCAGAGAAATGCAAATTAAAACCACAATGAGATATCACCTCACACCACAATTAGGATAGTCAACATCTAAAAGACAAACAAGAACAAATGCTGGGGAGAATGTGGAGAAAAGGGAACCCTTCTACACTGCTGGTGGGAATGTAAATTCGTTCAAACATTGTGGAAAGCAGTATGGAGGTTCCTCAAAAAACTAAAAATAGAAAAACCATTTGACCCAGGAATTCCACTCCTAGGAATTTACCCTAAGAATACAGTAGCCCAGTTTGAAAAAGACATATGCACCCCTATTTATCCCAGCACTATTTACAAACCTAAGTGTGCATCAGTAGATGAATGGATAAAGAAGATGTGATACATATACACAATGGAATATTATTCAGCCATAAGAAGAAAACAAATCCTACCATTTGCAACATGGATGGAGCTAGAGGGTATTATGCTCAGTGAAATAAGCCAAGCGGAGAAAGACAAATACCAAATGATTTCACTCATCTGTGGAGTATAAGAACAAAGCAAAAACTGAAGGAACAAAACAGCAGCAGACTCACAGAACCCAAGAATGGACTAACAGTTACCAAAGGGAAAGGGACTGGGAAGGACGGGTGGGAAGGAAGGGACAAGGGGGGAAAAGGGGCATTACGATTAGCACACATAATGTAGTGGGGGGGACACGGGAAGGGTGGTATGTACATAGAGGACAAGTAATGATTCTATAGCATCTTACTATGCTGATGGACAGTGACTGCAATGGGGTAAGTGGGGGTAACTTCATAGTAGGGGGAGTCTAGTAACCATGTTGTTTAGGTAATTATACATTAATGATACAAAAAAAAAGATGTAATCACCAATCACTGATCACTGATCACCACAACAAATATAATAGCAATGAAAAGTCTGAAATATTGTGAGAATTACCAAAATGTGACAGATACCTGAAGTGAGCAAATGCTATCACAAAAATGGTGCCAAAAGGCTTGCTCAATACAGAGTTGCCACAGACGTTCAATTTTTTAAAAAGTAGTATCTATAAAGCATAATAAAGTGAAGCACAATAAAATGTGGTATGCCTGTCTGTATACTAACATTCTTTTTCTTCAAAGCAGATCAATACATATTGCTTTAAGTCAAAACACAAAGTTAAATAAAAATTCTACCCTCTTAGCTTTTTTGTAATCTTAGAAAAAATATTTTAGGAAATACTACTTCTCAAGTGACCATTTACCTAAATTTAAGCAATTCCATTTCTCTTTTTAATTTCATCCTTTAAATTTCAGTAAAATTAGTTTTTACATTTTAAATGTACTAAGATATTATCCTATTTTTAGAAAATTACAACTGTGTGTGAATGAATACATACTCCCATCTTTACCAGAATGTATGCACAAAATGCATCTGGAACAAGAGTCACATAATTTTAATGATTATTATTTCTGGGTGGGTTTTGGATAATTTTTTTACATTTTTCTTTGTATTATTTTAATTCTTTATCATGAATATATGTTATTTTTATCAAAACTAACATATTCTCAAAAGATAAAAAGAAAGGAGGAAAGGATGAAAGAATATTAGAAACAGAAATGAAGTAAGACATTTTTGAAGCTACTCCAGTATCAGAATTATAAGAACTTACTAATAGTTAGGCAAGCCACACAGAGAATGAGGATAAAAAATTCTGAGCTTAGTCCAAAAGAATTATCAATAATTACATCTAAACCATTAGCATATAACAAACATAATGATTTTACCTTTAGCTAGTAAAAATGTGATCCAAGAAACTTTTAGCACCAACATAGAATTTATGTCAGTAGATATCCTAGTAAACAAATAGAAAGCAGAAAAAAATTTTATACTGACAGTTCTCTTACTACACTTTTTTTCATTTTTTAAAACTACAGACTTGAGTTGACTGCATGATAGACTATACAGTCCATTTTAAATGCATGATTTACACATGAACTCAATTTGCTCAATTCAGTTAGTGTTTTTCACCAAGATATTTATAGTTTCCCATAGAGTGGTATGCATTTTATAAAGGAAATATTGAGTATCTCAATTCCAACCTAAATATGCACAGCAAGTGATGTACTATGATGTACTTGGTTTCCAATTACTTAATATTTTTCTGTTCTTTGTTTTCTAATAAAAATCAACAGTGTAAGCAGAAAAATAGAGGTCTGGCTGACAAAGTTAAACAGTTTAACATTGTGCCTTGGTAATGTTTTCATAGTCATTCACTTGTTGGAATTAACAAGTGGAATTAATAGATTAACAGAATTGATAAACACACAATTTCCCTTTACACTAATCATCTTCAATACTGCTACTTCAATGGGACAGAAAATCTCATATACTTCTCATTCTGTTTCCAAAGAAAAACTCTAGCACTCTTACATGAGTATATTGTTTAGGTGTGTATTATACATCTAAAAAAATTTTTTGGAAATTTTAACATAGACTTTCATATTTATTCTTACACAAAAATTATGCTTTGAATCTTAGTTAATGAAATGCCTGATACAGACCCACAAAAAAGATTTAGTCAATGAATTTGCATTTTTCCCAGAATCAGTGATGTTGCACTGAATCAGCTTCTACCTTATTAATTCTCTCTTACAGTAAAAGGTATTTTTTCATACCATTTTCCTTGTGAGAAGTTAAATAATCTGCAAGATCTTAAATCTATGACTTTAATTTATGAAGTAGCATGCTATCATCAATGAAACTAACCCTGACGTTATCAACATATTTGGGATTACTCCAGAAAAACATGTTTTAAAAAAGTGAAAAATAACATGTTCTGAATAACTTACGAACTGCTGGGTTGTATCAAATATATAAGTTCACATGTCCTGTAAGGAAGAAATAATTATATTAAAACTATGGTTCTTTTTAAAGTTATTTTAATTTTTTTCATAATTAATAAATCAATTTTAGCATGCTTCTGTTTATCTTTTAAGAAGTATACATTTTAAACAAAAAATGTACAGCATCAGAGAACAAAATTAAAATAGATTTTCCCGGTTTATGACATTTCACACATTACTGTAATATCTAATTGCAAAAGGACTGGACTGCATATGTGCATTTGTAATTCAGTATAAATTTTATAATTGAATCTTGATCTGGTTAGAGACCCAGAACAAGTCATAAAAAACTATTTAACTACTAGTCTCACTAAATTAACACAACTGAAAAGTACGATAAAACCTACTTGTTTAGGACAATGATTTTCAGCATGGTGGAGTAAAGATCTCAGCAGACTTACTATAGTTATATAGTAATAACTATAATTGGTGAAAATTATTTCTAAACCAATTAAAGTCTCTGGAAATTTTCCTAAGAATGAGTATACAGCACAAAAAGGAACATTTCTTCAAGAAAATCTACTAAACCTTATTAAGAACAATGATAGTCTGTGGAATTCAAAGCAAAATTCACTTCTTTCTCATCTCTAATTCAGCATAACAAAGCTCTATCTGGTACAGTCAAGACAACAGGGCTCCCTCTCTCCCAGCTCCCAGGCTACAGCAATATTTCTGGGAAGGGCAGGCTACCAGTATTTCTCATCACCCCCAACTCTGTGTTGCAGAAGGTCTACCCCAGACAAGAGAAGCTGAGAGGTATGGGGCTGCCTTCCTCCACTTAGCCCCTCTCATAGGGCAGAAGTTCGACGCTAGACACAGCAGATCAAGAATACTGGGGCCTTGACTTTCCTTGCCCCATTTAGCTCTTAGAATAGAGTTTCCAGCCACAATAGGCAATGTAAGAAGAACAGAGGTTATCATCTCTTCTCAGTGCCCCACTGTTAAAGCAGAGGTGTCACTCCAAGAGGACATTGTCTCCACTGATTTCCTGAGCAGTGGGACACAAGTGTCACCCAGGGAAGAGACAAGCCTTAAGAACAGAGAGTTCTGAAGTTCTTTCCAAGGGAATTAACTTCATTAAAAACAGTGTGGGGACATTCAAGGGTAAGAGCACTGTTGGAAACAATGGAAATTTTGTTGGTAGGCAAGTAAGAGGAATTTCATAGTTCTATGAAAGCAAAATCCTAGACAATCTAGGAGAGAACCAAGGAAAATATATTAGTTTCATGTTTTCTTATTGAAATTTAATTCACAAAGCATAAAATCCACCATTTTAAAGTGTATAAATTCAGTAGTTTTTAATATATTCACTTTGTTATGCAACCATCACCACTAATTCCAGAATATTTCCATGAAGTTTCCAAAAAGAAATCTCATAGCTGTTAGCAGTTACTCCTCATTCCCTTGACTTCCCATTACCTGGCAATCACTAATATACTTTCTGTTTTTATGGATAGGCCTATTCTAGACATTTCATATAATGGGATATGTGGTCTTTTGTGTCTGGCTTCTTTCATTTCTTAGCTTAATGTTTTCAAGGTTCAACCCATGTTGTAAATATACCAGTACTTTACTCCACAGCTGAACAATATTTCATCATATGGTTATACCACCTTTTGTTTATCTATTCATTCTCTGATAAGACATTTGGGTTGTTTCTAATTATTCACAATAGTGAATAATGCTGCTATCTTGTGATTAAAGATGGCAGCATGAGAGGAGAGACAGAGGCTTCCTCCTAAAACTGGATGCAATTAGAAAATACAGTTGGTGCAACTAATCCTGAGAGAGCAACAGGAAAGAGGACTCATCAGACTGCACACACCTGGAGAAAAGAGCAGACCTCAGTGAACGGGGTAACGTACCAGAGCTGTGGCTCCGCAGGACCCGAGCCCCTCCCCCACCGCAGCTGAATGGCAGGGGGAAGACAAACAGAGCAGTGAGGGAGTGGAAGGTTTGGGACTGCTGAATACCTAGCTCCGGAGATCTGCGCTGGGAGCACAAACCTACATTTCATGGTGCTTTCTTGAGACCTGCATGACTACTGAGTTGGAAAGTTAATTCAGGCAGAGTTCCTGGGGAGACTGGAATTCCGGCTGCTTGTGGAAAGCAGGGATCCATATCCGGCTGCTCTGGGACAAAAACTTGTACCTGTGTGAGCGGACAGGCACAGCACCCAGGAAGCATGGAACAGCTCTTTCCTACCTCTAGGCACCAATACCACTCCCCTGCGACCCCCAACATTGCTTCAGGGGCTGAGCAGCTCCAGAGATTACAGCTTCTGGATGCTAAAGGGCACCATATACAAACATGAAACGCCAAAGGAACCTTGTCCAGAGTAAAATTATTAATACAACTCCCAAGAAAGATTTAAATGATATGGACCTCATGACTCTTCCTGAAAGGGAGTTCAAAATAAAAATTATCACCATTCTAATGGAGGTATGGAAAGACATCCAAGAACTCAGGAATGAATTCAGGTTGGAGATTCAATCGTTGAAGAGCACGATGAGGCTAGTAAAAGTAGGTTGAATATGGTGGAGGAGACAATCAATGAAATAGAAACTAGAGAAGAGGAATACAAAGAAGCTGCGGCAAAGAGAGAAAAAAGGATCTCTAAGAATGAAAGAATATCGAGAGAACTGTGTGACCAATCCAAGCAGAATAATATTCGCATTATAGGGATACCAGAAGAAGAAGAGAGAGAGAAAGGGATAGAAAGTGTCTTTGAGGAGGTAGTTGCTGAAAACTTCCCCAATCGAGAGAAGGACATAGTCTGTCAGGCCATGGAGATCCACAGATGTCCCAACACAAGGGACCCAAGGAAGACAACACCAAGACACATAGTAATTAAAATGGGAAAAATCAAGGATAAGGACAGACTCCTAAAAGCAGCCAGAGAGAGAAATAAGATCACATACAAAGGAAAGCCCATCAGGCTAACATTAAGACTTCTCAGCAGAAATCTTACAGGCCAGTGGAATGATGTATTTAATGCCATGAAGCAGAAGTGCCTGGAACCAAGATTACTTTATCCGGCAAGATTATCATTTAAATTTGAAGGAGGGATTAAATAATTTCCAGATAAGCAAACGCTGAGAGAGTTTACCTCCCACAAACCATCTCTGCAGTCTATTTTGGAGGGACTCTATAGATGGAAGTGTTCCTAGGGTTGGATAGCCGTCACCAGAGGTAGTAAAACCACAGTAGGGAGGGTGGAGCAGCTGATTGCGAGGCAAATGCAAAATTAAATTGACTATCCCCAAAGTCAATCAAGAGATAGACAAAAAGCACAGAATTTGATACCTAATACATAAAGAATGAAGAAGGAAGAAAAAGGAGGAGAAACAGAAAAGAACCTTTAGATTGTGTTTATAACAGCACACTAAGTGGGTTAAGTTAGACTCTTAGATAATAAGGAAAGTAACCTGGAACCTTTGGTAACGACGAACGAATCTAAAGCCTGAAATGGCAATAAATACATACCTATTGATAATCACCCTAAATGTAAATGAACTGAATGCACCAATCAAAAGACATAGAGTCACTGAATGGATAAAAAAACACGACCTGTCTATATGCTGCTTACAAGAGACTCACCTCAAACCCAAAGACATGCACAGACTAAAAGTCAAGGGATGGAAAAAGATATTTCATGCGAACAACACGGAGGAAAAAGCAGGTGTTGCAGTACTAGTATCAGACAAAATAGACTTCAAAACAAAGAAAGTAACAAGAGATAAAGAAGGAGATTACATAAAGACAAAGGGCTCAGTCCAACAAGAGGATATAACCAAGATAAATATATATGCACCCAACACAGGAGTACCAGCATATGTGAAACAAAACTAACAGAACTAAAGGAGGAAATAGAATTCAATGCATTCATTTTAGGAGACTTCAACACACCATTCATTCCAAAGGACAGGTCCACAAGACAGAAAATAAGTAAGGACACAGACGCACAATAGAATAGAACAAATGGACCTAATAGAACATCTATAGAACTTTACACCCAAAAGCAACAGGATACACATTTTTCTCAAGTGCACATGGAACATTCTCCAGAATAGACCACATACTAGGCCACAAAAGGAGCCTCACTAAATTCAAAAACATTGAAATTCTACTAACCAACTTTTCAGACCACCAAGGTATAAAACTAGAAATAAATTGTACAAAGAAAGCAAAAAGCCTCACAAACACATAGAGGCTTAACAACGTGCTCCTAAATAGTCAATGGATCAATGACCAAATTAAAATGGAGATCAAGCAATATATGGAAATAATTGATAACAACAGCACAAAGCCCCAACCTCTGTGGGACGCAGTGAAAGCAGTCTTAAGAGGAAAGTATATAGCAATCCAGGCATATTTAAAGAAGGAAGAACAAACCCAAATGAATAGTCTAATGTCACAATTATCAAAACTAGAAAAACAAGAACAAATGAGGCCTAAAGTCAGCAGAAGGAGGGACATAATAAAGATCAGAGAAGAAATAAACAAAATTGAGAAGAATAAAACAATAGAAAAAAATCAATGAAACCAAGAGCTGGTTCTTTGAGAAAATAAACAAAATAGATATGCCTCTAGCCAACTTATTAAGAGAAAAAGAGAATCAACACACATCAACAGAATCAGAAACGAGAAAGGAAACATCACGACGGACCCAACAGAAATACAAAGAATTATTAGAGACTACTATAAAAACCTATATGCTAAGAAGCTGGAAAACCTAGAAGAAATGGACAACTTGCTAGAAAAATACAACCTTCCAAGACTGACCAAGGAAGAAACACAA